ATGCTAGGGTCAAATTCATGAACTAATGACATATGTTGAATATTTTGATTTATGAAATTTTTTATTAATGTAAAATAATATCTAAAAATATTAGCGATATATTTATGCAATTGGAAATAAGCATAAGCACTAGTTTTATTTCAACTTATTTTTACTTGTACATCTTTTTAGTTGACACTAACTTTCTTTAACCCTAAATTCATTTTTAAAGCATCGATTTTCTGAAGGGAATAGAAAAGTTTTAATGAATTATATAAATTTTCATTATGACTTCAAAAGATGCTTGTAGAGCGTGAATTTAAAATTATATAAGATATTTCATGTGTATGTTATATATTTGATAGAATAATTAACATCATTTTTTATCACATTGCATTATTATTAACATTTAAGTAATAATTAAATAATTTTGATATTTATTACATCATCATGTTTGAACCCCCTATTGAACCTTTAAACTTCTTCTAGTTCAATGTCTGGCCCAGTTTTAGAACCCTTAATCCCAGCAAGAAAAAGTTTCTCAGCATCAAGCATACAGCTCATTAGATCCGTTTCTTCAAATTTTAAAGAAATAAAGACAAGACACATCATTCTCAAAGATAAACAAATATATTCATAAACAATAATTAGTGTAACTAGTCTCATCAGGAAATGCTACCAATGTAATACAATGGACTTACACAATCTTGTTTTTTAGAAAGTGGTAGACAAAAATAAGGTGGTTTGAGCCACTATGGCAGGATACATCAACAAAAATAGAATTGAATGAGGGTCACTATAGGGAGCTTTAAGTGATGAGTCTTTATTTTTTATGTTTTATTTTATTCATGTCATTTTATATTTCCTGTTTTTCATTTGTACCTCTATGAGGGAGTTAGTGTTTATTGTAGCCCAAGGGCAATGTCGTCATTATGACTTTTATTTTCAGTTGGCCTATATATAGGCTATGTCATTGTATTTGAGATTAGTTTTTTAATGAATGAAAATTTGCCTATCATGTTCTCTTTGTGAGTTCACCCTCCTCGATCTCTTAGTGAGTTCGTCGGAGAAGATAGATCTCTTTGTGAGTTCTAGATTTTTCGTCAAATTTTTTTTGTCTTCGAGAGTTCTATATTTTCAGTCAAGCCATTGTTGAGGAAATCCGGATTGAGGATATTGGAGGTGAGTGAATTCGTGGCCCATTGAATCCCTGGAAGAATTTCCCTTTCTCCCCTACTTGGATCCTTTGCCGCCGCTCCTCCCTATCAAACCGCCGGCCAGCAGCAGCCCAGCCACCCGCCGGACAGCAGCCCGGCCACCCGCCGGCCAGTAGCCCGTCGGCCAGCCCGAAAACCCCATCCCACCGCCTCCCCCTTTGGATCCTCCCATCATTTGAATTTCCAATCTATTGATTTATTCATTTTCCTAATTTGTGCCTATTCAATTAGGAAAGTCCATTAAAGAGATTAAAGCCAAATTCGAAATTCAAATTTGCTTCCCTCTCATATTAACTCTATTTGGGGAAGTTACTTAAGATATAATTAAATCTGAAATTAGAATTCATATTTAATTAAATTATTTACTTAAACTTGGGACCCACTCTCATAACTCCTAAATTCCTCTCCCCTCTTCATATGGCCGGCCCCCCTCAATGGGCTCTCTCCTCCTTCCAAATTACATTACTAGCACCACAAATTCAGCCCAAATCTTCTCCCCTTTGCCACCCCCTCTCTCCCTCCTTTGATTAATTTGAATTTCAAATTAAATCCCTCCCCTAAACCTCCCAAATCTGAATTTAATTCAGATTTCCTGCACTTACTATTCAGCCCCCACCATAGCCGAATCCCCTCTAGCCCTCACGCCGGCCAACCCTCTCCGCTCCAAGCCGCCACCTCCTCCCTCCCCTCTTCTTCTCGGATGCTCCCTAAACTACCAGCAAGAATGCATGGTGGATCCTGAACTTGAAGGCGGACTCGTATTCGACATCTACGGAAACATCCATGTTCTTCGATCTCCATTCTTCGACGTGGGGTTTGACCACGACGACGACACAGTTGGAGATTACTTGGATCGAATCCTCCCCACCCTTGCGCACGTCATCGACGGACAACTTTCAGACTACGACTGGACCATCAACGGACGTCCATCCGCTTCCCCACCTCCGCCGCCACCACCTCCCTCGCCATCACTACGGATCGTCGGCGCCGTCTACCTTGGAGTGATCTCATTTCTTGTATGGTTCTTCTTCCTCCGACAACCCTAGACGTAGAAGAGAGACTTTGAGCCTCAAGGTGAGACGATCGCTTTGTTAACTGCCGGATTCTAGTTGATTACTCATTTCATTACTTTTGTTTAAGTTGTTATTTTAAGATCTTGCAAATTTAGTTGTAACAACTTGCCTAAGCATTGTTAACTTCTACGATCTTTCTTGATTTGTCAATTTTTGAGAAGCTTTAAATTATTTTATTATTGCTCTAACAATACTTTAATTAATCTCTTAAAAACAACTCCTGGTTTCACATCATTAAGATTAGAAAAATTGGCAGCAAAAAGAGAACTGCAACAACAGATATCAAGTGAAAAGCCGCAGCTAAGTTAGGTCTTTATTGCACAAAGTGAAAAGAGAACGACACAAGAGTTTTTAACACAATGCAGGCACTAGATGGAAATCAAAGACAAGTGATAAAGCAACTAGACAAGGCACACCTCAAGAAGTGCCAATCTGACATCAAGAGCATCAATCAATACAAAGCCAACTTATAGAAAGAAAGATCAAGGAAAGATAATTCCAGCATATTAACCATCATACTACCACCATTCCTTCAACCACTGAGCGTGCAGTTGGCTTCCACAGTGAATAGACAAATGCAAGGAGCAGACTAATACGTGAAGAGGAAAAAAAGATAACAGCACAAGAAACCAGAAGGCGGCACAGCTCAACGAGTGCCAATCAGCTACTGAGGACAGTTATCAACACAAAGCCAATCTATAGAAAGAAAATGCAGGAAATAAAAATCCAGCATATTAACCATGATACTCTTACTACCGCCATTCCTTGCACCAATGAATGTGATGATGCCTTCCACAGTGAATGCTCAGATGCAAAGAGCAAAGTACTATGTGAAGGGGCTAAGCTATTAGATATTTCTTCACCCTTAAAGTGATGGGGTTTCACAGGTTTCTTAAGGGAAGCATTACTGTTACTATCCAGTGCTTAGAAGTGTATAAGAAATGTAGAAAATGTTTCCAGGCCGTTAAGCAGAAAGCAGTAAGAGAACATGCTTCCAGGTTGTTAAGAAAAAAGGATTTCAACATAACAACCCAAATAGGGTCCATTTATGTTCAATGCATAAATGAAGCCATCCCAAATAATGACATCTTCGGAACAGCCCATAATTTTTTTCTTAGGCTTCATTTGAGACAGCTTTCTTACTGTTTTTAAAGTAACTTTTTAGAACAAAAAAATTATAACCTAGATATTTTTTGTACTAAAAAATTGCTTCAGAAAGCAGTAAGAAAGTTGTCTCAAATAAAACTTTAATCTCAATAAACCGGAAGCAGTAAGAGAAGCTTAAGGGAATGTGCAAATTTACACAAACCGCAAACAAATAAATATATGACAAGCATAATTAGTTTTATTATACGATAGTCCGTAATTTTTAATTTTTTTACTTCAATTTATTTGAAATATGCCTATGATGAATGCCTAATGGGCTCACATTAGGTTCATCGTGAATGCTGGGTTTTGCTATTGATTTGCTGTAGGGTCGGACTAACAACTAAATAATTTGATTCCCTAATGTTAGGTTGCTTGATGTAGTTTGGTATGGGCTCAGATTAGTTTAGTTTGTGGTGATTCCGAGGTTTCAGGCTATGATTAAAGCCATTTATGTGGATAACATCATTTGATTTTGAGATGGGTGTTCTCCTCTCTGCAGTTCACCTTATTGTTGGAAATGTGGAGCTAAAATTGGGGGCTTCTCCAGATTTTTTTGAATTGCACTGCACCACTATCTGCCATTGCATAAGACTAGTATGGGGGGTATTCGTTACCGCATTTTTAAGGCTTCATGTGTGCACTTATAATATAGGGTTTTGGCTGGCTGTATCTAACCTATTGTAACTTTCAGAACCCTGGACAAATATTAAGACTGAAATTTAAAGGTTAGCAAAATTGAAATTGGTTGATCTATACCAATCTTAACTATTGATTTAAAGTTTATCCATTGATTTAGAGTTGAGAAATATATAACTAGATTATCTAAGGCATGCAAGTGTTAGCTTTTCATCAATAAAATTTCATATTTCTATTTTCATCTTGTATATGTCAGCTTACCGTAAAATTCATTAGAGTGTGGTAGACAACCTTTGGAGAAAGATATCTCCATTTTGTTGACTTCTTTCCATTATCTATTTTTACCCTAAATACTTATTATTGGTATTGCAAAAGTTTTATTTTTTAAACAAATTGGCAATAACTAAGATTTCCATTTCAGTGTAACAAATCAATTGCCTGTTGATTTTTCATTTTTCAAACATCTCATTGATTGCTTTAAATTAATCAATCTTTGCTTCATCACTATGTCTCTGTTTGACATAATTTCAAGTTTACATTAAATAATAAATAATTTTTTATTTATATAGTAATCTTAGGTCTGCAACTCTTATTTTCTGTTGTGTGATCAACATCCGTTGCACCTAGTTGCATTAAACACTCTAGACCCTAAATATCATGCATCATCATCCGCTAAATAGGCCATTTATAATACAAGCATTCATTTATGTTTGTTTCCATCTATTAATGAGATATGACATTTTTTTTTTATGCGCTCTTTGGATATATTTCAAATTGTTAACATGACAAAAGCTGATACATCCAACGCTCATGAAAAATCTGAGATTAACACAACAAATAGAAATGAAGTACTTCTTCACTAGTCCAGTAAATTCTTAATTATTTAAATAGCTCTGCAGGTGGCCTACGTTTAAGACTTATAAGAAGAAAAAAGAAAAAAGCTCACCAGTACTCATATGTCATGTCCTTTAAGCGCATCTCAAGCTTTTGATAAATGCTTGACCTCTCAAAATCTTGCTTATCATGTGTAGGCTTGATAAAATTTGCCTCAAGAACCCCTGAGAAACAATTATTATTGATAGCACAACATAATGTAGCCAGGTTTAAATAAGCTCAAATTTTGCACAAGCCGGCAATTAAATAGATTTTAAAATATTCTAAGAAAGAAAATGTGGCTATTACCAACAACGCCTCTGCCTTTGCCATATGAATTGTGAGCAACTTTCCAAAAAGGCTGCAGACATTAAAATATATCAAAGATGCATTAGCCATACGTGCTATTAAATGCTTAATACAATCAAGAATACTATGATAAAGAATACAGTTACAGAAGACAATGAAAAATCACATGTACTTGATAAAATGCTTTTTTAGATGGGAACTAGAATTTGAAGAAAACGTTATCTGGATTTTGCCAATAGATAAGTGTTCATCTTCCATCGAGCAAGCGGAAACTCAGTCATTCAAATCATTATCATTCATGAAATTTAAAAGGAACAAAAGAGAAATAAAAAATAAATGAGGTAGATGGGAGAAACCTTGAAAAACTTGGTAGTTATAGTTACATGCTATAGCTGAAGCATGCATGTGAAGGGAGATTTATTTCTGTCTCCCCAACTGATTGCAGAAAGGGAGACGAGAGATGATAAATTCCACCAGCCAGCTGAAGTATGCATTTGCGACCAAATGTGGGCGGTAGTAAAACAATTTTCCTCCTCTATTAACTATGGTGACAAGACCTTGAAATAGTCATGTTACTTATGTCAAATCATACTTGAGTTGAACAATAGCATAATATAAGACAAATGAACCTAACTAGGTTGAGACCATGGAATTCAAAGTTTTGTAGCTTAATGAGTTGTTTGTGCAAGTACCCATTTAGTTGGAAATCCTCTTGCATTTGAACAAGAGAAGTGGAAATTAGCTCTAACTTAGGGGCGTAAGTGAGCCGAGCCGGCTCGAACTTGACTCGTTTATGGGCTCACGAGCCAAGCTTATCGAGCTCATGAGCTCGAGTTCGAGCTTGAGCCGGTTCGGCTCGTGAGATTGCAAGCTGGCTCGAATAAATATTAATATTTTTAAAATAATTTTATTTTATTTATTAAATTTAAATATTAAAAAAATTAATAAAAACCACCTAAGTTTTATTTAAATGTTAAACATTTCATATTATTTTCTAATTTTGACTAAGTTTTAAAAATCTCACTTAAGTTTTAAAAATCCAGCCTAATTTTTAAAAATCCCGACTAAATTTAAAAATTCTCACCCATGGCTCGCGAGCCGGCTCGATCTCATTTACAGTCAGATGAGCTCGAGCTCGCCAGTCGAGCTCAACTCAAGAGTTCGAGCTCGCTTTCCATCTAACAAGCCGAGCTCGATAAGTTCCTAAACTCGACTCGATTCGACTCGTTTACACCCCTACTCTAACTCTTTCTGCATTTATAAGTCATCTGACGGACCAGTCCCTAGACCAGCATTTGTTTACAGGAGGTGGAAGGGTTCTGCCTCCAATCATGCCGCCCACTTTGGGGGGTTGGTTCCAACATAAATCAGGAGCTTTAATGGGTAATTAAAAAGGGATTATGAGAGAAATTTAAATTATAATGGTTGTTTGGGTACTTTAGTCAATTAATTGTATGTTTAAGTATGTTGGGATCTGCGCCCTAGAGGGAGCGGTTCAGATCACAAGGAATAGTGTTGAAGATGAATACCACCTACCACCCTCAAACAGACGGGTAGACAAAAGTGGTGAACATAGGCTTAGGGACGTACCTACGATGTTTTGTGTTCGAGACACCTAGGTTATGAGCTAAATGGCTCGCATTGACAGAATATTGGTACAACACTTCTTCTCATTTAGCATCCCAAATGACTCCTTTTCAAGTGTTGTATATAAGATAACAACTTCACTTGATACATTTTTTACAGAGGAGCATGCCAGTTTCCTCAGTAGAGCGGTATTAGAAGGAAAAGGACAGGGTGTTAAATGAGTTGAAAAAACACTTGTTGAGGGCTCAACAGATTATGAAGAAGCAGGCGGATCAGCATAGGAAAGACATCTAGTTTGAGATAGGAGACAAGGCGTACTTGAATCTACACCCCTACAGACAGAGGACAGTAGCTTACAGGAGGAATGAAAAGCTGGCCCCGAGGTATTTCGGCCCTTATGAGATAGTAGAGAGGATTGGAGTTGTGGATTATCGACGAAGTTACCCCCAACTACTACTATATACCCAATGTTTCACATCTCACAATTGAGAAGAGCCATTGGAGATTATGCAGTCAGTTCAGAAATAACAGGGACATTGATAACGGAACTGGAGGTAATGTCGGAACCACTGGAGCTGAAAGGGGCACGATAGGGAGAGGGTGGATTCAAGAAAGTATTGATAAAGTGGAAGAGCCTACATGACTATAATGTCACCTGGGAGCCATATGAGAGAGTGAAGCATCAGTTTCCATCCTTTTACCTTGAGGACAATGTGGCTCTTTGGGGGGTAGTATTGATAGACCGGTCTAGCCGGTCCAACCTAGACCAGCATTTGTTTACAAAAGGCGGAAGGGTTCCGCCTCCAATCATGCCACCTCCTTTGGGGGTGGAGTCCAGCATTAAATCAAGAGATTTAATGGAGAATTAAAAGGGATTATAAGGGAAATTCAAATTAGAAGGGCTGGTATGTTTAAGTATGTTGGGAGGCTAGGGTTAGTTTTTTTTTTTTAATCTCTAATTTTTGCTGAAATTTGAGTTCTTGTGTTCTTAAGTGGGATCTAGAGGCGTCTAGAGATTCGGGAGAGACGGATCTTCATCTCAAATAGAAGATCCATTGTAACTTGTTGTTTTTCTTCATCTACTATCAATCAAAAAATTTCAATTCTGATTTTTTTCAACAAAGTCTTTGCAATTTCTGCTTTTACAAATTGCTGAAATTAAATTTCAGCAAGGAAATTTCTGATTTTCTACAAGCATTTCCTATCATCATCATTCAATATTTTCAATGGCCAAAATTTTGCTGAAGGACAGAGTAGGAGTGGGAGTGGGAGTGGGAGTAGGGAGCTGGAATTTGACCTTCCATTTATCTTTCATGCAGTAATTTGCATTTCTTCATTTTAAACATTCCCATGTATATTAGAATGAATGGAAGGGGATATAATGAGCAAGGAACTTACAAGGATCACAGATCAATGGGCAGAAAATAAGTGAAATAACAAGCTGCATCCATTAACCTCACAACCCTTATGGTCGGGAAGCCTCATTCACAGCATATAAACCATTGGGTTCATTGTTTATTGCAATCCTCTTCAATGATGAAAAAAGCATGTTTAAATATATCATCCTTATCATCACTATCTTATCCCGATTTGTGATATTCTTTATGAATTCTCTTTCTTCGTTCATAATTGTACAGCTCTGCATAAGGTATTACTTCTAGTTTACATGAGTTCCCTACAAAACATCTAGCTTGTTTTACATTGGCACGCTTCTTTTTCTTCACATTCCTTTTATTTTACTTCCATCCACCTATATATTGATGAGCATGTACATAAACTTCATGTTGATATAAAGTTACTAATAGCTAGAAAATGCGAAATATAAAATCAAGACTGATGTTTATTAAAGAAAGATGGAATCAAAAGAGAGTAAGTTTTTACTTGTTTGAATTCATCCAAAAAAATTTCTCCACATAAAATTAAAATGCTCTCTTCTAAACCATACAAAATTCTTAGAAAATTAGTCTCAAATGCTTATTTTATTGATTTGCCTTAAGCACTAAATTTTAATCTTGAGTTCAATAATGAAGATCTAATACCTTATTGAAACACTGTCAAGCATTCGGTACATACAGGGGGAACTTCCACAACGTCAAATAATGTAATTCTCCCTGAACTTCCATGTGTGCCATTATTACCCCAACTAGCAAGGTGGAAGGATTATTTGTACTTCAGATAAAATTACTACATGTGAGTAGCTGCCCTAAGGGATTTATTACATCATATTAGCACAAATTAAGGATTAAAGTTTGGTCTAAATGTAATTTAAGTCAAACCAATTAATTAAAACTATTTTTGTTGTATATTATTAGTAGTATTCAAGTTGGATGGTCGAAGTGAAGGAATGCATCGGATTTTTTTTGTGATAGAAAAGTACCTCTCAAACTTAAGGGAAAATTCTATAAGATGGTGGTGAGGCTTGCAATGCTTTATGGCGCATAATGTTGGCCATTAAAAGAGAAGCATAAAATTAAGTTAAGTGTTATAGAAATAAGAATGCTTAGGTGGATGAGTGATTTTACAGTTTACTCTTAGAAACAAAATGTAAAACAAGCATATACATGAAAAGGTTGGAGTAGCTCTAGTGGCAGATAAGATTATAGAGAGTTGCCTTAGATGGTTTGGTAATATAAAACGTTAACCTTCTGATGATCCTATTCGGAGAGAAGATGCAATAGATTTGGCCTTTGTTAAGGAATGTAGAGGAAGACCTAAAAAGAATTGGTTAAGAAGTATTATAAATGACCTTTTTTAGAATTAAATGAGAATTTGACTTTTAACCAAACACAATGGAGAAAAATGATTCATGTTGTCAACCCCACGTAGTGGGATAAAGGCTTGATGTTGTTATTGTATTTAATTTAGGAATTTTTTTCTTCTTTAATTTTAAACTAAGTTGGATTATCCATTTGGATAATCTTAGATTTGAATTTGAGTTATTTGTTAGGATTTGAGTGAAAATAGATGGGACTCATTTTGAATTCAAAAATATGATATCAAGCGTGAAATATGAATTATATTGGAATTGAATTTAAAAGTTATAAAATAAGTACCTCTTTTTCTCCCCCTCCCTGGTACCCTATTTCATAGTAGGGTTTCTCAATTCTTATATTCTCCCACTTTGCCTTGGCATTATTTGAAATGCATGAAACTTTCATCAATAATAATTTTAATGTTCCTTATATGTTTGGGATTAGTCAGAACTGAGAGACAAAGTTCCTTAATGTAAAAGGCACATCGACAAAGTATCTGATACTTAAGGTTCATTTGGTGCATTTGCAACTGTTTGTAAAAAATAGCTGTAGAACTATTTTCGAAAAAATAATTTTTTTTTTAAGTTGTGGGTATTTTATATATTTTTCCCTTTAAAAAAAGTCAAACTATAATTTTTTTAGTTGCAGCACTTTAGCATACTTGGTTGTAAAATACTATTTCTCAGCACAAAAATTTCTAAAAAATAGCAAA